GGGGAAAGTTGGGGACCCTTTTCCCGAGAAAAACTGGGGGCTGACAGTTCAAAACCCCCCCCCCCCCCCCGCAGTGTGCAGCCTGCCGAGAAGGCAGGAGAGGGAACGAGGTGCTGCCAGTGGGGTGGGGAGGTGCCGGCCACCCAGTGGGGCCTTGGGGTGAGCTGTTGGTCACCAGGTGGACCAGAGGAAGGGCGCGGCCAGCGGAGGGAACTTAGAGCCAAGGAAGTCCTCAGATGGGAAGCGGCAGAGGTACGCTCCTGGAGTCCTTTTCACTCATAGCATTTGCATGCTTCATCACTCTGACTTAAGACTTACCTGAAAGTTTAAAACATGAACAGTACCAAATTGGGGTGCATTAACTCTTTTTATAAACAGGCACCCCTGTTGAGTGGCAAAAATCTAAATTATGGCTGCAGATGACCATGTATTTCCACTTATGTAGTAAAAAATTTCCAATGTGATGTCACCAAAAAATGATTTTCATTTACCAATAAAAAAGTGTTTCTTTTTCAGATGCCTGGAGCTCTATCGAGATAGTGCCCGCTTCACTCCTGCCAACTGCTGCCAAAAACAAACAAAAAACCCTCTGTAACAGTGGACACATCCGACTCAGACCAATTTTTTTAAAAAAGGCTAGTTCACCCTGAATGTTCCTGGCCCAGTAGGCTGCTCTCTGGCATGTCCACATCTACGAGTTGAGTGTAAGTCACTGTGATTCTTGTTCCAAAGTTTGTTTATGCCAGTGGTAGTAGTTACTGTATTTACATAATTTAATGTTATGTGAACCGATGGTGCAAAAAGAAATTGTTTCTAAGAACACTAAGAGCTTTGAAAAGTCAATAAAGGCAAATCTCTTTAAAATGCTATTGAATTGGGTGTGGGTGACACGACTGGAAAATAGTTAACATCGGTTGGGTGTTTACTGTGTGTCAGGCACTACGTTAAGCCTTTATATAAAATATCTGTTTGATCCTCACAGTAACTCTGAAATGGGTACTGAGAAAACCAAGGCACAAAGAGGCTGAGCAACTTGCCTGATTTAGGAAGTGGTGTGGCCAGGATTTTGAAAGAAAATAATAATGGAGTCTGTGCTGAGATTATTTTACAAGAAATTTAAGTTCCTGAAATCCATAGCCAATTCAAAATGGGTGCAGTCATTTGAGAATCAAAGAATCTACCCTTAAGGGAAGGCCTTGGCTGTCTACCTGAAGATTAGAAGTGGTTGTGCATTTGTATTTCGAAATTAGAATAAAGTGTTGAAAACAAAAAAACCCCAGAAGGCTAGTTTCATGTAACACCTCATTCAAATTTTCTCGTGCCTGCATTTTTCAGGCCCTGTACTTTATTTTATTTTATTTATTTATTTTTGGCTGCGTTGGGTCTTCATTGCTGCGTGTGTGGGCTTTCTCTGGTTGCGGAGAGCGGGGACTATTCTTCGTTGAGGTGCACGCGGGCTTCAGTAGATGTGCTCGTGGGCTCTAGAGCGCAGGCGCACGGGCTTAGTTGTTCCGCGGCATGTGGGATCTTCCCGGACCAGGGCTCGAACCCATGTCCCCTGCATTGGCAGGCGGATTCTTAACCACTGCGCCACCAGGGAAGCCCCAAGCCCTGTACTTTTTGACACAGAGATGAAAAAAAAAATCTTTAGCCTTTTAGTGTTCATAAAAATAATCTTAGTTTTAGTGGTTTCTAGTCCAAACTGAGGCACCGGTCTTTAACTTTCCCCTCATGGAAGGCAGGGTGTCTGCCGGAATGGACAACTCTGTGCATGTCCTTTTTCCGTGGCTGCAAGCCTGCTCCCCTGTCGTTTTCTTCAGTGGTTCTACTTTGTGAGAAATCCTCTTTTCTACCTGTAATTGTTTCTGAATCTGACATAGAACTTGGTGCCTGACATGTAATAGGCATTCAAGTAACCCTTATTTTCAGAAAATGAGACTGACATTATGCATTAGTCCAACAAATTTATTCAACATTGATTGTGTGCTTGGCACTGTGCTTGGCCACTGAGGAGGATGGTAAGCCAACAGTCCTTGTCTTCTGGGGACTTTGTCTCGGGGGCACAGAGGACGAAGCAGACAGTCACAAAGCGGTGGGTCAAAGGCTGGCATGGGCTAAATGCAGGCTGCCGTGGGGTGCAGAGGGCTGTCAGTAAGACGGGGGAGAGGATGCTTTAGGGTCCTGGCATTCTTCCTCGGACAGCAGTCTATCTAAAACAGTTGGTGAATGTGTTGCTGTTTCACGATCAAGCGTTCTCCTATAATCTGATTAGAAGGAACCTCGTTATGAAGTAATCAACAGATTATTTATCTTCTGGTCAATTGGAACATCTCCAGCACAGGTCATGTAATTTGAGAGACCATCGGCAGCTTTGCTGCTTAAAGCAAGGCCAGCCTCATCAGTCTATTTTGTATCTTTGTGCTCGCAGAGAGCCTGACTAGTCACTGGGTTGAAGGCTTATGAGGAAAGGTTTGGATCCACCTGGGTAACTGCCGGTGGTTCAGAGTCAGCTGAAAATACCTATTCTCTCTAGTGAACCAAGGGGCTGGGTACTGATAATGAAAGCTGCTCACTTGGTGAAGGCACCGAGCCTGTTGCCAGTTTGACTTTCAAGCCTCCTTAGCCACAACAGAACCTAGTGCGCCTGTGTCGCTTTCGAGACACCGGGAAAACCAAGTTCTATTTGTCAGTGATTCACTATTTCACCTTGGTCTTGATGAATAAGGTGGAGAGAAGACAGAAACTGTAGAGGTTGAGGAGAAGGGAAGTAGGAAGGCAAAGCTTTTCACTCCCCTCCTTGTTACATCTGTGTGCTCTGATAAGTACAGTGTTATAAAAAAGTGTCTAAGTGTGCTGAGGAAATTTTAATCAACCTTTATTGGCTTTAAAGGGAATACACTTGAGAAAACAAAATCATGTCATCAAAAGATGAAAGTTATTGTGATTTTCTCACGACCAACTGAGTCATCTGCCTAGAGAAGGGTTTCTAAAGGTGTTTAGCACCAAAAAAGAGATCACCCTTCTTATGATCTTCCTTATTCTTAAGTTTAGGGATGGGACAATACTGTTAATCCCAAATCTGCACATCTCAAAATTCAAGCTAAGATTAAGAAGAAATAAAACCAAGCCCCTAGCTCCCCAAAGCGTCAAAGAAACCGGAAAATATTCATCACTGATTCCGGGTTAAGGAGATAGACCTATCAGGTGTTTCTTACATGAACTCAAGGACTGAGAGACATTTTAATATTTGATACAGAGTAAAATCATGTGCACAGTGAGGGTCCAAGATCCGAAAATATCTCGCTGAAAACAAAAGGCTTACGGACAGTCGGCAGTCACCAGTCTATATATTTTGCACCTGGCAAAGTACACAGTACAGTCACCATTCTGTCTTCACTGGAAGACAAAATTTCATTTTTTGGTACAGATCAATGCATTTCTTTCGTGGATCCAAGAAAACGTTTCATTAGAATTGAAGACTCGTTGAGCCAGAAACAAACATTCACAGTTAAGCAGACAGACTGAGCCTCCTTTCATTGGAAAAGGAGAGACGAAGGAACGTCAGCTCCTTTCCCTGGTTCTCATTCCTCCTGTTCCTGGGTATTTTTGTATTACCCCAGAAGCTAGTGCTACTTACATGCAAAACAATTTTAGACTAAGGGAATTAGTGAGGTTCGAACTGAGCCGGCGACTCAGGACCACACAGTTCAATGCATTCAGAGGGGATTTCACACTGAGCTTAATGCACAGGAATGTTGTTGGCAGCCTGCCCATTTGTCGAACCCTGTCACACATGTTCTCCTCAGGAGGATGTTCTCCTCAGTGTCAGGACACTGAAATTATGGAATTGCTCAGATAGAAAAGGGCTTTTGACGGCTTTTTTATGAGGAGTAAGTCATCCCTGTTTGTTCCTCTGTACCTGTTTTACTTAACCCTGTATGAACTGAGTGCTAACTCAATTTTGTGCACAGCGCTAATTGGGAAGCTGAAAGATTAAGAAGACAAAACACAGTTCCATCCCTAACATCATAGGCCTTCTTAAGAATGGCAAGAAGTGGAGAATAAGAGTTAACGAAGGATGAAGTTTGCTGAGATTGAAGACGCTCTGCCGGCTCTTTCCCGTCAAGAAGGCAGAAAGGCTTTGGCCTCCCTCATCTTCTGCTTCACGCCTCTGCAGGACAGAATAAGCCCAGCGTGATGGTGCTTCAGGGCTTCCAAGCGCTGGCTGAGTTCTTCAGTCCTGTCCACCACCTCTTCCATGTCCCGAAGGAGTGCTTCCTTGCCCAGAAGCCCGCACTTCTGATTCAGCTTGATGTTGTCAATCCGCAGGCTGTCCCGGGCTTGCTTAGTCTTGGTCAAGATGTCCCTCTTTAGGGCCACCTGAGCCTCAATCTCCATAAGCTCTGACTTTTTACACGCATTTTCTGTGTCCACAAAGTGTAACTTTTCCTTCACATGGGTTATGATTTGCACATGGTTGGTCACCTTGCTGCGCAGTTTCAAAAGCTCCTCATTTCTCTCCTCGACTTTCTCATGCAAGGTCTGGTTCTCAGTCTTAAGCTGTTCAAAATCTATCAGGAGCAGGCCCTCTGTTAGGTCCTCCTGGGCCCTCAGCCTGTTTTCAAAGTGCACCAAACTCTGCTTCAGCTGCACGTTCTCTAGCCTCACAGCGCTTATCGCCTTCTCCTTCTTATCCTCCAATGCCTGGATCTGCCCCACCTCTCGCAGAGCGGCCTGGCGACCACCCCTCATCCGGCAGCTGCCCATGGCCTGCATCACCACCTGCTTCTTGAGTGCCTGCAAGCGTCGCCATTCCTCCTCCACCCGGGAGAGCTTCTCTTCGCACTGCCGCTTCAGCTGGTCCAGCTCGCGGTGGTACCAGCGCAGGTCATCTGACTCTTGCTTCCTCAGATGCTCCAGCATGGCCAGATGGCGTAGGTATGCTTGTTCTTTCTCGGGGGCCTCAGGCTCCGCGCCCTTCTCGGGCACCTCGGCTGCATCCAGGCCCTTCTTGCGCAGCGCCTCGAGGATCCTGTGCTGCAGGTAGATGCTGTAGCGCTGGTGGCGCTCTCGCTCCGCCGTCAGGGAGCGGAACTGTGCCAGGAGCTCGGCGCGCAGCTGCTGCTCCTGCTGCTTCTGCACCTCCTCAGTCCAGTCGCAGCTCTCAAGCTCGGGTGCCTCGTCCAAATCCCCCAGCTCGTCCTCGGTTTTGCCCAGGCCTCCTTGCACAAGCTTCTCCTCGCTCTCTTCTCCTTCCTCCGCCAGCTGTCCTTCCCGCTCAGCCTCTCGGTCTGGCGCAGCCTCTTCCTTGCCGGCCGTGGCCTGCTGCAGACAGACCTGCGACGGGATTTCCTTCCTCCTCGGCTCCGCCGCCACGTCCGCCTCGTCCTCGTCCTCCTCCTTCCACTCCTCTTCTGGTTCCTCGGGGCCGCCTTCGGGCTCTGGCTTGGCTGGCTCCTCAGGCCCGGCCTCCGCCAGGTCCCCTGCCTCGGCCTCGGCCTCGGCCGGCCACTCCGGCTCTCCGGGCCCCTTCTCACCAGCAACCTCGGTGGCCGCCGGCCGTTCCTGGGACTCGGCCGGCTCGGCGCCTTCCTCTGAAGCTTCTACGGCCTCCGGCTCCGGCTCCGGCTCCGGCTCCGCGGGTTCGGCCGGGGACTGGGGGCCAGAGCTGGTTTTGGTCCCGGACAGCCGTGAGGCCAGGCTCTCCACATCTCCAGCTTCCTTCTCGGGGTCCCCAGTGTGGTCGGAGCGGTCGTCCATCTCCCTCCCGCCGGGCCGGCGCCGCGGACCCCGGCTGCAGGCTGTTAAGTTTCCAGGGGCAACCAGGGGCGCGCGCGGTGGGCCCGGCGATTGGCTGGACGTCCGCCTGACGCCCTGCCCCTTGCCCCCCGCCTCCTGGCAAGAGCAGGCCAATGGGAGGTCGCGAGCGGACGACGGGTAGCGTTGATTGGGGGAGGCCGTAGGCTCGCTCCACGAGGGGCGTGGCGTGTGTGCCGCGCTTCCTTTCCGCCCTTTTCCCCGCGCCCGGCCTGGGGCGGGGCGTCGGGGAGACTCTGGGAGCGGCGGGCGGCCGGCGCTAAGGACGCGCAGGCGCAGAGCGGCGGGCCGGGCCCCCGCGCGGTGGCGCGCGCGGGGCGCCTGCGCGGTGCAGCGGGGCGACGGCGGCGGCGGCGGCGGCGGCGGCGGCCGGGCCGGCCCGAGGGCGCCTGCGTGTTGAGGCGGG